TATTAGATTTAAAAACAATTGTATGGAACTTCGTTATCTAATTTTGCAATTATAATATTGTTTAGATTGCACATAGCCCAGAGTTTGGGTTCTGGTTTTAAGTTTTAGACCTCTCAGGTTTTGTGTGCCATCAAACACCATGATTCTTTAATTTTAAGAATATCAGCAGCTTTAACCTTGTATGGAAAACAAAATGAGAAATATATATATGAAACTTTTAAAAATATACATGTCTTTGCGTTTGTAAAATCACAAGGAAAAAAAGGATTTATTAAAAGTAAAAGAAGAAAGAAATGATGTATTTTGACTGGGATACCCCTTAGGAAAATTTAAAGTCACTCAAAGCCAAGCCTGTTATAAGTAATGGCTTGTCAAGTAAGGCATTGCCTCCTGTAGTATTTTTCTTGTCTATGTTCCTAATACTAAGTTTATATTATTTATAATTAATTATGCTTTAATTGTAATAACTTAGAGAGTATAATAAAACATTAATTGTTACTGAAGTTTTAATAAAAACTCAGTACATCTGCATAAGGAAAAAATAACTGCATTCATTTAGCCGCATTGAGCATGTCAGTACAACACATTGTCATGCCAACAGGAGCACTTGGTTACACAAGCCATAGATTGTCTAACGAGAATGTGAAAAATGGGTTCTGCATGGATGAGAAGTTTCAAGAAGTGGCAAACAATTATTTCAGTTGGTTGGAAACGTAGCCGTGTTTAGCATATGGCTCACCTGTTAAAATGGTTACCAGCTGCCATTACATATTACTTCAAATATGTTTTGTAAAATAAAAATTTGAAAATAATACTGACACTTTGATGTTTTTATCATTTTTTATAGTTTTACATATATAGAATCTTTACTCATACCTATTTACTACAAATATAAATGCATGTTTGTTTTGGAAAAGAACTGTTAACACAATTTAATGAATATGTCCATATTTTAAAAAGTTATCTATTTATAATTGTAAATTTATTTCTTAAAGTTTAGTTTATCTTTGCTTACATCCTCTGCTATGGAACTTTGGAAATACCCCAGTGGTCATGCCGTTATTAGTTATTTCAGGCCAAGTGGAATAAATGTTATTCCTTTCAATGTTTTGCAATTCCACCAAAAGCCTATTCCCAAATGGATTAAAAGGGGGAATAACATTTTATTGTAAGATGTGACTAGCTTCAAAATATTAAATTTCTAATAGAATAGTGAATGCTTAAATATGGAAATAGTATAAATAAGTCAAGAAATTTTTTTTCTTCTTTTTCAAGGGTAAGAGGGATTATGAAAATTTTTAGCTTACAGTGAAACATCAGATATAACTTTAAAGGCTTGTGCAGGAATGAACTGCAAAGAAAAAAGAATATAGAATACAAATTTTGTAATAATGATTTTAGACTGTCAATAAATTATATATATAAAAAAATGCTTTAATCCTTTCCAGACGGGTCATGGGTAAAAGGCCATGTCATCACGTTTGTTGATTTGCATTCAAAATTTGAGATTTAAGCTATTTAGTCTAAATATTTATGTTTTCGTGTTATAATTTGTTGTCATTCTGGAATGAAAGAGACACAATTTATATTTATTTCCTAATTTTTATGGTGGTTACGAGATCAGTCAAATCTACCGAACCCTTACAGAAATTCGTTACTGAAAATAATAGATAAAATATATAGTTTTTTCTTGAGAAACATTTGATAACTATCTGGACATTATAAAGGTTTTACATGTGAAATTTGTAAATTTTCTGATGCATAAAAGTATTTTTAATTTTAAAATAAAAAATTACTTTGCATGTTGGACAGGTAACATGTAAAAAGGAAAAAAGACATGAGAAAAATATTGCTTTACAAACCTTAAGACTTGATAAAAATTTTGATATGTTGCAAATGAAAGCATTGTAATGTTTACTGATAATCTGCCAAATTTCGTTAACATACGCTTACTAATTTAAAATATATTGCATGAAAACTATAACAAGGACAAAATGGTTACGAGGTCAGTCCTAGGACTGAGCCCATGCTAAAAGAGTTAAAAGTGGGGACAGTTTTTCTTGACTTCAAATTTTGTTAGTGTATTTTTAAAATATTGAAACATTTAGTATAGCTACTGATAATGACAAAACCTATCAATCAAAACTTTGAAGAAACTTATGAAAGAACTTTAACCATTATTTAAAAAAATTCTCTTTGAGGCTGTTTTTTCCAAACTAACCCTTGAGGAAAGTAAAAGTTTAAAGCTACTCTTTATTTTTTCAAGAAATCATTGATTCCCATCTTAAGCTGTTGTAAAGTGACAACCTCCACTATTGTCAATTGGCAGCTCATTCCATAAGACAATCAACCTGTTTTGAAAATAAAAAAATTTCAATTTATTATCTTTTATTTATTTTGTACAGAGTATATTTGCATAAACATTAAAAGTATAAATAAAGTTATCAAGTGCAGAATATAAGTAATGTTAATGAGGACAAGGATAATTAATTACCAATAAAACTTGAAACTTACCTTAAAATTTTTTTGGGTACATTAATTGGTGTAAAACCAGAAGATATCGGGCCTTGGTTCCTTACCAAGATATGTTTCCGGAATTCTTGGGGAGTCTTTTCAGTTTACAAGTCTTTTGCCCTTTTAAGGTTGTATAAAGCACATTACAAGGTTTTAGAAAGAATCCTGATCTGAATTAATATTTTGTTTTTATTTTCAGAGAATATTTTATAAACTATGTAATGATAATTACTACTGTAAGCTGAATGTTTATGAAATGGGTGGAAAAGTTTAGAAGTGGCTAGAAATTTGGTTTCATGTAGAAAATAATGAGAACTATTATAATACAGTGGTTGTCAAACTTTTTTGTTCATGGGCCATCGGAATATTTTTTCTTTTATCTTGGCTGATCACAATGGGACCTATATACTGTGCTGTTGCTTCCTTTCCACAGACCACCTGAAGGGAGCCTGTGAACAACAGATTGAGAGAATCTGTGTGGGGAAGCTCTTCTAAGTTTGAAATATTTGTTTTTTATTATTTATGCTAGTGATATTCCTAAATTTAATGATGACTGAAATACTGAAAAGAGAAAGAAAATATATTTGTTGTTGAAAAGAATATAAAATAGTCTTTGTAACTAGATAAGTACACAAAATGTATGAAATATTATATAGTATAAAATTATGCTCTTAGGTTGTTATCATTACTTAGAAAGGACTTTTGTGACAAGACCCTTGATGTTGTAAAAGAAGAGATGGTTTATTGTGATTGTTGATAAAATCTCAATATCTTCAGCTGAGTGTTGAGCTATTGGGAAAAATAAAGTTCTAGGCTCTATGTATACAGTGTATATATATATAAATTCTGAACTTAAAAGAGTGCAAGTTTTATCAAATATTGCATAAACTGGTGAGCTAGGTCTTATTTGGAACGCTGCATGTAGTTTGGTCTTTTTGCTACAGGAAATATATTAACAGATTAGACAGTTCAGAGATTAGGGTCTAAAATTTTCCATGTCCTTAGTTTAAAATATGTAAGTTGTGAAAAAGTAAAAAACTTTCAATCTGTTTTTTTACTTGTAGATCTTAAACCAGTCAAACTTGTTAAAGTTCAGATAATTTTCTATTTAAATAGTACATCATAAAGATTGGAAGCATGAAACTTAATATTTATTGATGTAGTCTTATACTGTTGATTCTTGACCTCCTTCAGCAACAATAAGACTAGCTTGTTGGTTTGCCAGTTCTTCTGAATGATGAGAAAAGTTAATGCAAGTGATAATGAATGATTGATGTTAAATAATATTTTGTTATTAATATGTCCTGTAATTCTGAAATTCAAAAGACTCTTATAGAACTGATAAAAAGTACATTTCACCATTTTAATCTAGTACACACCAAAACAAATGATGTTCATGCAGTGTTATAATATAGTGTTTCAACCACTACTGTATCTGCCATATACCAGCAGGCCTGATGAACCATGGTACTGGTCTTCAGTACTGGACATAGCAAATATAATATGATCGACATATTGTTATACAGTTTTCTTTACTTTCAATCTGGAGTTTTACGTTCTGCCAGTAGCCTTGTGAAAACTCCCAACTAATTTCATGTGATTTCATGTACCACTCCATGATAACATCATCATGTGACAAAAGCCCTCCTCCAATAGGAGGGCAACACACCTCCATGCGCATTAACTCCCCCTACACATTTGCACTCGTGAATCTTCATTCTTCTTCTCAACACTTTATTGACCAGATGAGTTTAAATTTCTGGTCTGTGTTCAACTTACTGACATTTACATTGTTAATGAAACTCTGATTTTTGTTTTCTTTTAACTTTTGTGACAAAAACTAAATTTTTATCATGACTTCTCAAATAATAGTTATTTATAATTAGCCCTGAATGTGGGACGTTGTTCACACTTAGGCCTTTTTTCAGTTGTAGCTTTTGTAGGCCTGTTAAGTGTCAGGGTCATGGTAGTCATTCTTTGATGTGATGTGGTTTACCACATGCTTAATGGATTTCCTCCTCTCCTTCAGTCAGAATGATCTTTTGGACTACAACCTTCACCTGTTTTGTTTTTGGTAGTACTCTACCATTTGTTTCTGGATTTCTTTCTCAGGTATGTTCCTTTTCTTTCCTTTGCTTGTGTTCTTTATTATATTTTCTTTTCTCATTTTATGTTGTGTGATTATTCAGTTTATCTTGCTTTTCCATATTGTTTGTTTTTGGGATTTATATTGTTTCCATCATCTCATACCTCCTTTGTCACACCTAGGTGCCACATCTCCCCCTCAATCCCTCCCCCATAATCATGACTACTTCTGGCTATATTTGTTGCCATCCTTCCCTTTCTTTTCCCAATTTCCTGTCATTGGTATCTTTCTGATCAGCTTGGGAATTGAGCCCCTTACCTTCTATTTCACTTTCTAGTTCCTTATTTTGACAACTTTTTTGTTTGTTTGTTTTTTTTCTCTCCTTCTGTATTCCCTCTTCTACTTCCACCTTTTACGAGAAGCACTTCTTTGTGCTTCTGTGGATGTTTGTTCCCTTCTGTGTTTGGCCTGTTCCATTCTTCTGCTTTATCTTTCCATATTTTATTCCACTGCTGTAGAGACTTGTTGGGTTGAATTACTCCTATTCCTCATCGAGATGTGTCTCTTTCTCACCTTTCTATTTCTGATTCTAGGCCATCCTCTTTTTCCTGTCTTTTTTTTCTACCAGAAGCCTCATTCGTCACTTATTGCCATTGACTGTCATACACTTATGATTCTATGGGTGGCTTTCTCTTCTGCTCTTGGTCACAATTTCTGCCAACAGTTGTTTTTCATTTCTCAGACTGTCTCTTTTTTTCACTTTTTTCATTTTACTTTCGCCTTCCTCTGACCTCATCTATGATCTTTTTCACCTGATCTGTAGTTGGCATGGTGAATGTGTTGGACACCTTCCTACTTGTCTCCCTCATCCTATCCTCTTTGTTTTCTTTGTCCTGTCCATCCTTCTTTTGTTTCTTCCTATTCCTTTCTTTCACCTTCAACTCAGCATTGGCCCCTCTTCTGTTAATTGATATCATAAAGGCCTCTGTTTGTCGTATTCATAACCCATGGCTGGCATCATAACTGTTAACCCATTCTCCAATGTTTCTCTTTTACAGTAGCTGCTTGGTTGGTGCGGGTGGGACATGTATTGTGTTCTCAGTCCTTTCTCACACCCACTAAATGTTGGGTGCTTCCTTCTTCTCTAGTCCCAACCAATTTCAGCATGTCTTTTTTGTCTGTGAACTATGGCATTTATTTTCTCTTTTTCTTCTCTCCTTGCATGAAAGGTTCTTTCCCAATTGAGATTTCTGGCTTCTCTTTCATTTGGAGCATTCCATCTTGTACTTCCTGTTGTGAACCTTGTAGACCTTGAATTTTCTTTCTTGGGGTTCTTTGTCCTCTTTGTGAGCTTCTCCTCTAATATTGGTCACAGTGGCTGTCCATGGATTCCCTTACCACCTTTCAAACTAGATTGACCCCTTCCTAGATACTTCTCTCTCTGATTGGGGGACATTTTTCATGGGAACAGGTTCTTGACCTTCTCATTATTTGTCTCCTACTTGTGGTTCACTTGGTCTTGTTTTATCAAGTCTTTTCCACAGTCTTTCCTTGGTCCACCTGGTGGCTCCAAGGTCTTTTTGTTTTGGGGTGTTAACTATACACTTCTGTGCCCATTCACATCATTTGCTGGGAGCTTTCATCTTGTTTATGGGCCAGTCCTTATTCTGTCAATGAAGTAGTCTCTGCACTTCCATAACTTCCTTTTGGATAATTTGCCACCCCTTCTCAACTTTGGACTTCCTCTCTAATGGTTCTCTATTCCTCATGCTTCAGCTTTGGCTGTTGGTGTTTTTTTCAACAAGACCTGGCCTTACCTTTTTCTCTATACCTCCTCCCTTATTCATTTCTTTCTCCTAGGCCTCTAATTTCCACACTACTATCCTTCTTGGGCCCTTTTGTTAGCACCTCTCTGACCACCTTGGTCCTGACCTACTTGATACTAAGGCCTCCCCTTCCTCTCTCCCTTATCCATTCTCTCTTGCTTCACACTGCCAAACTAATACGATTTCACATTGTGAGGTTACTTGATTGCTGTAAATACTAGAAGCCACTGTAACAGATGACTCGGATGTCAGTGCAAGAATAAACAGGTACTAGAAAGGTTATAAAAATTATAGGCATCTGCATACAGTTAGGAATATTTATCTTAATTTTGAAACTGAGAGTACATGGAAATGATACGTTATATAAATTTGATTAAATTATTAGAACTTTGAACAAGACGGATAATGCCCTTTTTTATTTTTTTGTACATTGCTTGTGAAAAAAAAAACTACAAAACTATGCTCCTCTCACAGAATTGTGTGAGAAGCATAAAATTTGATGGGAAAAATTTGCAGCAGGTTAATATTCAAAAGAATGTCGCTTGCTGAATAAGTTACCTATTTAACTGTGTTTGTCAGAAATTGCTAGACCTGGACTTGTAAAGACAAATTTCTGTTTTAATTAAAACTAGCTGTAGCTCGACAGGAAGCACTGAAAAAGGAAATGTTTGTTTGTCATAAACACTTCTGTTGTTTGATTTTTTTCCAACCTTTACTGTAAAATATAAATGTATTGATCATTTTAATGTGTTTTTCATAACTTCTGTTGTATAAGCAGCTTCTCATTGAC